GTGCTTGTTAAAATTTCGGTTGTTTTCTTTTTTTTCGAATGTTTTTTAAGCGGAGCTGCGGGGAGAGCTGTGGGAAGTGGCTTCACATTATATGGACTAACAAATTTCTTTTCCGGAGTCCTATTTTCCTTGATTTGGGATGTTGATGGTCTAATGTTGTCTTCTAGAACAGCCATTGGAGGGACTTCAGCTTGTTGCTCTACATGTAAATCTGTTACAGATGCTGCCATGAAATCTTGCTCATTAAATATGTTATTATTAAATGGATATATTCCGGTTCCCTAAATCCTGATATGCAATTTTTAGGTGTAAAAGCTAATGGGTAAGATACACCTAGGATTTCGGCAACTTCGTAAATAGTTATTCTTTTGCCAGGGTTGTTCAGTAACCAATTTTGACAGTTCCGATTATAATAATTTTTCAATGCGAAATAAATACTTTTGTCTAGCGGCTGCAGTTTGTGGCTGCAGTGTGGTGGTAAGGTCAAAAGTATAACATTATTTTGTTTCGCCATCTTTATAGTATCCAAACATATATGGGTCTCATGGTTATCCATAATTAATAAGACGGGTGAATCAGCGGTTGGTTTCACATGTTTGATGAAATGCTGCAGCCAGTGGACAAATATGTGTGATGTCATCCAACCAGTTGGAGAAGCCGTTCCCACACTTCCCGGCGGCGCGTTCTTTAACATGTAATCCTTATAATTTTTTCTGGGGAAGATTAACAAAGGTGGTACAGAATTTCCCATTGCATTAATGCAACCACACATGGTTACCAGTGTCCCCCTTTCACTAGATACGATGTGTCCCACTTGTTTTTGGCCTTTTTTCGCAATAACCGTTTGTGTTTCTTGGACAGTGGTAAGTGCTGTCTCATCGACGTTAAAAATTTGGTTGGGCCCAAATTCATGGTTTTTAAGGACTTCCTGAAGATTTTTAAAAAATCGTTCTACAACTGGTTTATTAAAGCCCATGGCTCTACCTAATGACGTAGCCTCAGCTAATCTTAGTGACAATTCTTTGCGACGTTTCATAAATGCATTGAACCATAATCTTCCTGCCATACCATTGTCTTACCAAGATTTCGGAAATGTCTTCTTATTAGCAACTGCTAATTCATATGCCAACCTTCGTGCCGCTTTTGGAGGTAAGCCATGATGTAGTTGAGCCATTGTTTGAAGATATTCGCTTAATTCGCCTTCTTCGTCTGGAGAAAATACTTGATTAACCCAGTAATTTGGCGTTAATCTTGGAGCTCCTTCCAATACTGGTGAATTCCAATCAATTTCCTCTTGGTGCTCGTCACACTTCTTAATATAGCGCCTCAGTGTAGTTCGAGGTATGTTGTATTTTAGTGCTGACGCTTTGACAGATAGTCCACTAATCTTGATATCTTTAAGGGCATCCCATAGTGCTCCTCGGTATCTTGCCTATTTCAACGTTAGCTTTCTTACGACGAGGCATTTTGATCTGAAAAAATATGGTTGCAATCAGCGGAAAGGTATTTAGAAAGGTAGGTACAGTGGCCACTGTTATTTATAGAATAAAGCGGTGACCACTGTACCTGCATTGCCCTGTGGCCACTGTTCTAACAACCACATATTTTAAATATATAAATATTTTGAGATAATTTTCAAATGCTTTTAAAAACTTATTGGAAAAATAATTACTTACATGGACTGAATATTCATTCACCACCAGCAATTATTCAAGAAACAAGTTGTTTGGACAAAAATAAAAATCTCGTGCATGCGTTGAAATTCACTTTTGCTATGAATTTTCAGGTTAGGTTCACTATACCGTTAAACACCAAAGGTGAAGTTTCCTGCTTTGTGCCCAGTTCTACTACTTAATTTGCTAGTTTGTTCCTAGATGGCAGATATATAACTTGAAATATAACAAAGTTAGGGAAAGGTGGCCACTGTACCTATATGGCCACTGTTCCAGACTCTCCCCTACTTTTTGGCTGTTGATCAGTGTTATTGGCTGGAATCTTGAGGATCAGATTATCTGTTGTGATAATACTGCTTCAAATAATGGACGGTGACTGCGTGCTTCTCGAACAGAAACTTAATAAAGAAATGCCTCCAGTGGAGTAGGAAAAATCAGTAAGCCGGTACTAAAACTACGCGGTTTTTGATACGATAACAAGCAGAGCGTCAAAACAGAGATTAATGATATAGACGTTGGAAAAATAACGTGATCTTAGTATCCGAAAATTATGTGCATGAGAAGTCCAAACTAAAACCCATGCAAGATATTCTTCAACGATCATCAAGTTCTTTAATTTATTATTAGTTTGTTATATATATATAACTTGAGACGTGGTCATTGTCGTCTAGACCAGTTAGGTGAAAAATTAAAGCTTCCGCCTTTTGTTGGGTACTTCGACAAAACTTAAGCAAAGAGGACTCTTTATACTTTTTTAATTCTCTCTAGCTTTCAATGGACTTTGCCATCATCATCAGGAGCTGCAATTACCATGATAACAGTAGCAACAAAAGTGTAAAATGAATTTAAATTGAATCAACTTACAGTAGTATGTGAGGATGTTGCTAATTGTTGTTTTCGTATAGGATGAGGGAAACGTCCAGTAACATGGTGAGAGCTGGATGATAATGGTACAATGGTTAAAATTATATAAAATATGACAAGACAAGTTAAAGACAGATTAAAAATTATTTAGAAAACATTAGAGCATTACGTCGTGAAGCCACTTGATGATTGCACAAAATGGTGGTCATGGAATAATGAGTGAGATGAACCTTTGACAGAAGGCCGAAGGTTGTCAATGTCTGTGTTGAAAGATGGAACGAATTGTGGGCGTGTGGCAAAATGTTGCCAAAACACTTCAGATGATGTGATTTTCAGAATGTTATGTAAGAAATTGTTAAACCGACCACAGGCAGTTGAATAAACTATATTTTAATTAATGGAAATTTTAAATTAATAATTATTAATAAATCGTGAGAAGAGAATTAGTTGTTTTGATTTCTATGGCTTTAGACAAGTAATCGATGAACCTACACGTATAACTCGCTTCAGTTACACCTTGATTGATGTAATATTTGTTAAATGAAGTCAGCATTCATTGTACCAGAATTTAAAACGGTATCTACATCACTAACAAATATTACATCAATCAAGGTCAAACTGAAGCGAGTTATACGTGTAGGTTCATCGATTACTTGTCTAAAGCCATAGAAATCAAAACAACTAATTCTCTTCTCATGATTTATTAATAATTATTAATTTAAAATTTCCATTAATTAAAATATAGTTTATTCAACTGCCTCTGGTCGGTTTAACAATTTCTTACATAACATTCTGAAAATCACATCATCTGAAGTGTTTTGGCAACATTTTGGCACACGCCCACAATTCGTTCCATCTTTCAACACAGACATTGACAACCTTCGGCCTTCTGTCAAAGGTTCATCTCACTCATTATTCCATGACCACCATTTTGTGCAATCATCAAGTGGCTTCACGACGTAATGCTCTAATGTTTTCTAAATAATTTTTAATCTGTCTTTAACTTGTCTTGTCATATTTTATATAATTTTAACCATTCTACCATGTATCATCCAGCTCTCACCATGTTACTGGACGTTTCCCTCATCCTATACGAAAACAACAATTAGCAACATCCTCACATACTACTGTAAGTTGATTCAATTTAAATTCATTTTACACTTTTGTTGCTACTGTTATCATTGTAATTGCAGCTCCTGATGATGATGGCAAAGTCCATTGAAAGCTAGAGAGAATTAAAAAAAGTATAAAGAGTCCTCTTTGCTTAAATTTTGTCGAAATACCCAACAAAAGGCGGAAGCTTTAATTTTTCACCTATATATATATATATATATATATATATATCCCAAATACGCAATAACTGCCGCATATTTTGCTTCATGTCACTGTTGTATTCCCTGAAAATTCAATTAAATATTCTGCACAGCTCCACTTCGTCGGTCTGTTTCCAGAATATAAAACTGAAATTTTCCACTTGATGATAACGCGGTCCCAGCATCGCACAAGTAACTGCCTTCAACTTCAAAGCTAGGCCACATAGTACAAGGAAACAGGATTTTAACTTCGGAGTGGAGATGACAAGCTGAGAATCTACATAGCTCTACATACATAAGATTACTCTTCATAAGAGTCCCTGCGGGCTTTATTGTCCTAAGCACCTATATAACAGAGGCAGGGCCAATTCCACCAACATTAATATTTGACGGTCCAATAGGAAAAGACCTTATCGAAATGCAATTTGGCAGAAACTATGGAAGCTCGCTGAATATCAGTGATTTCTATTGAAATGTTGAATAAAGTCGTATAGATGTAATATTATGTCTTTGTGCTGTAGAATTACGATAACTTTCATAGAATTTCAAATTCTTATCATTTCAAAAAAGACAGTCAGTTATTTAAGTGGACCAATGGGAATGCGGAAAATAATAGGTCGATTTTCTAGCAATTATATTTGTTAGAATGTTTTCACTGTTTTTGTCGACTGTTCATGCATGTCAATCTAGTTTTGCCTGTTGTACATAAGAGGCGTATAGAATCAAACCCCGCAAAATGTAAAATTCTCCAGGAAACGACAAAAACGGCTGGCTAAATTATTTTTTGATATTTCACTACCAAATATTTTTTATTTACGTTTTCTAACAAAAAGGTATTCAGTCAATGGTTTTTGTTTTGAGTTAGCGGCTTTTGATTGTTACTTGGTCTTCGAAGTACAAAAATAACAGATCTTGTTTGATCATTTTTCTAAACTTATTTAACTATATGAACAATAAATTCTCTCTAAATTAGTAATGTTTATTTTAAACAACAAAAACTATATTTTATAAATTTAACGAAAACATAAAACAAGTTATTTATACAGAAAATGCTCTATCTTAATTATGTTTATTTTGAACAACAAAAACTACATTCCCTAACTTTATCGAAAACATTCTAAATAAAACAAATTCCTTGTGAACACATTCATTATACAGACAAGGCGTCTAGCTCTTCAACCGTTTCGCATTGGAAATCTGGAACATCTTCAATATTAGTGTCAGCTTCTTCTGGTTGGCGAAGTTCAATATTTGTGAAAAAATCTAAGCCTTCATCGAGTCTCCAGTTTTCGCCGTAGTGACCTTCTAATAATTTAGCCACTGCTATAACTTTAGCTTCTTTGACAGGAACGTTTGTAGGAAGCGGTTGAGGATCCATAGAACTGATTTCTTTGTTTTTCTCCGTAACACTTCTAGGATTGCCTAATTCGGATCTGTAGTGTAGTTCTCCCTGAACTTTGGTAATTCTGTTTTTGTCAAGAATTATTTTAAACCTTTTGGAAGGATTAAATTTAAAGTGCCAGGCTCCAGGTGGCTTTAACACATTTTGGGATTCCTTCTTCCAATCTAGAACAGGGACATCCACATCCATTTTCATTACAGTGGCATACTGCTCTATGTGTTCAATATACTGCTGAGGGGTTGAAATGATCTCTTGTTTTCTGATAGCTTTCTCTATGTTTCCAAACACCCTGTGGAAGGTGGAATAAAACTATGTCCGACAACAGGAAAAATTATCTCAAGTTGCTTAATATTTGGTGGCGCATAACATTCAAGCCACCGCAACCGACAGCAAAAAGTCTAATGTGCGTTTTACTGTCCAAATTCAAGTTTTTTAGGCGATGGAATACCGCACTAGTAATTTCGTTCGAGCTTTTAGGACGGACAGTTTCATTCCAACAATAACAAAATACGTTTTCTGGAGTTAATGTTGTCTTGGAGCTACCACAAACAATAGTAAAATTGTAAATGTTATATTGTTTTGAAAAATATGCCTCTTGGTCAGGAAGTTTTGGAAGTGGCAAATTCTTTTGGCAGTCAAATGATAACGTTATCATTTCTGGGTATTCTTCTTTCAGTAAAGCAAAAAAGGCTTGCGCCTTTAGTTTATGTACAGTTTTCTGAGCCATAAGCGCAGCTTTTGTAGGAGGATCATCTTTAACCTGCTTAATTTTTTCACTAATCTGAATGCATGTGGAACATACATCAGTTCTAGGCGATCCGAAACCTATGTTGTATTTTGTACAAAATTCGCGTCTAAAAAATGGTTCTTTAACCATGGCATTGTCAAGTGCTGAATTTAAATACATTTGGTATAATTTTCTGATGTTTAGTTCTGGTGGTAGATATACACGGCAAGCACTTTTCGACCTACAATAATGTGACTCCTGGCATTTGAGGGATTCCAAAAAGGAGCGTATTGCCTCCCGCCTTCCTTCAATTTTCTTGCTCTTTTGATCCCCGCCCCGGTTTCTTGTGCCATTTTCCCCAGTTTCAAAATGTCTTTTTAACACCCCATAAACTCTATCTTTATTAATATCCAATATATTCAAAAAAGCTGGTTTGCAAACTGGAATTAATTTTCCGCTTCTATTCTTTACGAAAAATTTGTAACTTAATGTCCTAGCTGGCTTCGATTTATTCTTTCGACGCTTTGGCACTTGAACGTTGGTATACTTTATAAGGTAATTATCCTGATCAATTTTTGCAGCAATAGAGTAGAATATTGAGTGAAATTCTGATATGTCAAATTTGGTTAAAGTACTGCATCGGAAGCTTTTCGTTGCGTGATTACAGCTTGGGACACCCGGTGGTCTTTTGGGCTTGTATCTGAAAATAAGTGTCGAACGTTGAATAGATCTTTAGATTATAGGAATATTCAAGATCCAATTACTTTATTATTAAAATTAGATTCAATTACAAAATAAACAAAATCAATCTTAAACGTTTTTTTTTAGCAAATGTGCCTGCATTTAACAAAATGAAAATAATTATGCAATAACTTTACGATTTTGTCAACCATAATTAAGTAATTAAAAAATACACAGTAAAACTTACCTCTGAATCTTTAGTTTAGCTGATTTCCAGTTAGATTTATTTATTGAACGCTTTCGGGCTTTGTTCGGTGTGCATATTTGGACGGCTTTATTGTATTCGTCCATGTTTTCTTTAAAACACTTATAAAAACCACAGAAAGCAATAATCATGATCCTACACGTTAAATATCTAAACATGAACTGACATGCATAAACTCGTGCCCGTATCGAATAGTGCATCGTCATTGGTCGGCGGGCTTTGATTGTAATATTGGAATGGCGTTAGCGGGTTTTGAAACTAAACGTAAAGTTTCGGCTTAATTATAGACTTGTTTTAGCGGAATTTGAAGGGTAGTATTTATACAGGTAGATTCCTTGGAAAATTTCCTATAGGACCGGCAGAAAATACCATTTTTGGAAAAAAGTGGAATTAGCGGGGTTTGATTCTATACGCCTCATAATACGCACCTGTAGAAATGTACCAATTTTTGTTATTTTGCAAAAAAAAGGATATAAAACGTATTCCAACTGGTTCATCATCATTTGTTACATCAAAAACAATTTTTGCCAATTTATGATCTAGAAATCCACACCAAATGAAAACAAAAAGCACATTCTGCATTCCTAGATATTATGTCAGAATCAAAAATACCTATTTATGAAAATATATCTCAAGACATTGTTATATTTTCTTCTAATTTCTGTTATTTTAGCACGTCTGGGATATCAATTGTTTGTAAAGTGATCTGCACATCTGCAGTGTTGCCGAACCTATTTTTGTGCAGGTTTTAAGTTTGCCTGTAGCTTTACGACATATATTTGAGTATTTCTTAATCGCTGTAAATACAGTGTGGATGTTTGTTCAGTTTCTGAACAACCAAAAAATATTTGACTACGGATGTATGGATATTAGAATCCTGAAAGGTTTTGTGGGAATTTCAATTGACGGTGCTATAATGGTACTGATGAACGGTAAGTAAATGAATGAATGTTTGGAAACGAGCAATATTTATGAAATTTTTGGTAGAGCCTGTCATCAAGTAGGTGTTTAATGGCTATCTGCAAGAGGTTTGTAGGAAAAGAACACACGGTAGGTGTCAGGAATCAGTAAAATCGCATATCAATTGAAGAAAATAATGTAAACATGAACAAACAATCGACAGTATTAAATAAAAACATGAATTTTATTCAAAAATTTTTGACTAAATCATATGTAATTCCTTGATACTCGATAAGCTGGTGATGTTTCAATGACTAGCTGTCATCTCAGAGTTTGACAGTATCTTTTCAACATTTCATAGCTGTTCGTTGCTAAAATTTGTTGATTGGAACTTGAAGCTCATTCGCTGTATTTGACGGACTGATACCCTGTAGGTGGAGAATAACGGACTGTTGATTTGACAATCCTGGTGAAGTCCACCCTAAGTGACCTATTGTGGAATAAGCAAAGAATCTTCGTGTCATCTTCAACTCTAGTTTAAGATTTGATAGATATCAGAGTTGTTTATCGAAAAGTGTCTACACCATATTATCAAAGCTACTGTATGTTAATAGATTTATTTTCGATTTACCGTAGAAATCTAGGTGGAAGTTTAATATTTTCCATCCCTAACTATGCTTTACTTCACATTTTCCTTTTGTTGACCATATGAATCGGTGCAGTATCCAAAAAAATACTAGTAGTTGTACGGTAACTTATATGAAAAACAAAGGACAATCGTAGGCATGTTCGCAAAGAACGAACAGGAACAGAAATAGAAGGATTGGTAACCAGATTGACGTACGTTTCTGCTTACCAGCTTCATCAGGCCCAAATCGATGTGGACTGAAAACTTGAAGTGAAAACATATCACATGCCCTCGATTGTCCTTTGTTTTTCATCTAAGTTATCTCAAAACTTCTTGTCATTCTCTGTGTTTACACATGGGCCTGAAGTACCACGCAGGTAGCTATAGCTGGCCTCTGTGGCGAAGTTGGTTGGTATCTCGTAAACAAGAGGTTCTCTGATTGAAGCCATGAAAAGGGTACATACGTTTCTAGCAGAAAAATGTCCTGGGGGGAAGTGTGGTCAAAACCCCGTGAGGTACTATAAAAATTAAGAAAGCCTCACCGAATAAAGGAGCCGACAAAAATCATCTTGTTTTTGTGGTCAATAATGTGTCTCCCTTGTTTTGATGGAATATGTTTAAATTTGAATGGAAATCGTACTTATAATATACTAAGTGACACATAAATCCTAACACCCAGTTTAAATGGTTTTATTTTAATAAAATTTTGTATAAGTACTTAATGAAGCATAATAAGTAAATGATAAAAATTTCAAAATGATTGCACTGCTTTAAAGCCCTTTGACCTTTAATAATGTGTGGATGCACTCTGATGTGCTACGCATTCTCCAACGCGCCTAGGCATGCTTCTGATCAGGTGGTCAATGTCCTCCTGTGGTATCTCATTCCAGGCAACCACCAACTCTTCTCGAAGTGCTTCTAGAGTCTGAGGAGGACGTTGCAAATTGAGCAATCTCCTATCCATCATATCCCACGCGTGCTCAATTGGGGATAAGTCGGGAGATCTTGGTGGCCATGGTAACAATGTGACATCATTATGTTGAAAGAAGTCTATTGTGACTCTTGCAACATGTGGTCGGGCATTATCTTGTTGGAAAGTTGGATCTGCCAGGGTGTCAAGATAGGGTAAAAGATGGGGTTCTAGAACTTCGTGGATATAACGGTGCACGTTCATGTTACCTCTGATGAAGATTAAAGGTGACCTGAAACCATAAGCTATAGCACCCCTAACCATAACTCCAACAGTGTGATGAACATGTCTTTCAACCACACACCGTGGATTCCTCCTTTCACCACGTCGCCTTCTAACCCTGGCACGACCATCGTGCATGCCTAAACAAAATCGAGACTCGTCACTAAAGACAATACTGTGCCATTCCTGATCCCAGAGTGACCGTTGTCTGCACCACTCAAGGCGATTACGTCGGTGTTCTCGAGTTAAAGGGAGGACCCAGTGTGGCCGGTATGAAAACAAGCCAAAACTTCTCATTCGTCGATAAACACTTCGCATGCCAATAGGTCTTCCGTGTTCTGCAAACCATTCATTTGCAATGGACCTGGTAGTGGAGAAACGGTCCCTTAAGGCCAATAATCTTAGGCGGCGATCTTCACGGTCTGTTGTTCTACGGCGGTGTCCCTTGCTCTTTGCGTACGGCCTTCTCGAAGCCACGCCTGACAACACCTAACCACAGTGTCTACACTTCTTTGCACTCTAACTGCAATTGCCCGAAAAGAAAGTCCAGCTTTCCGAAGTCCCACTATACGGCCCCTATCAAACTCACTAAGTTGACGAAATCGTACAGGTCTCCGTACTCTAGGCATCGTAACCGATCGTAAAGGATGTCAAGAACCAAAATCCGCCAACGTTGATTCTTTACTGCTGCGGCTGAAATATTCATTTTTAGAGCGTTAGTGAATTAAAAAAAAAGCAGTATAAAAACCGGAATGTCCAACTGATAAGGCTGAAAATTTTTTCACTTGGTATTTACAGTAAGATAAATACATTCACCAACTTTTATTAAAATGAAACCATTTAAACTGAATGTTCGGATTTATATGTCACTTAGTATATGATTCTTTTTTACATTTAAATAATGTCCTACTTCTGTCTCTTGTATTTCATTTACTTTTTCCAATCTAAGCTACTCAAAAAATTAAGAGAGCATGAAAAGGGTCCAATTTAACAGGCCGTGTTTCGGTGAACAATGGTCGTATCGAGAGTTTGAAAAAAGCATTTTGAAGCTTCAAGATGTTAGTATTTATACCTCCTAGCCGAATCAATTTAGAAGCAACGGTTCTCATGGAATTCCAACAGATAGCTCAAGAACAAAAATTTTGCTTTCGTGATGTTTCTGTAAACTGATCATAGCCCGTTTGTTCAGTTTCAATGTCCTCTGTTTGAAACGACGAAAGCAAAAATTTTGCAAAAAAGTTTTCTTGCGCTAACTATTAGAATTGTATAAAAGAACCGTTGCTACTAAAATTTTTCAGCTGAGAAACCGAAAAACTAGAATCTCTCAGCCTTAAATGCTGTTTTATGATCAAGATACGACCATTTCTCACCGAAATATAGCCTGTCTAGTATTTCCGATTTTTTTTTGCTCCCTTAACTTTTTTAGAACTGTATGTGCGACTATAGCGTATGGTTGTTAAGCAACCCTTTAACAAACTTTTATTTTTCCTAAAAAATGACAGCTGATGTTATGACAGTGACTAGTACCACAAGACGTATAGTCGGTACCAAATTTGTGCTCAAGAAATGCTCCCGCCGTGAGCGTGTGTGTGCGTGTAAGATGGAAATACGGAAGCACGAATCGTCTCATAGTTTGTTCTTTGACATCTCAGAGACTCGTGCTTTTTTTTTATTTTTCTGAGTGGTACACAAGTTGAGGGTACGGGGAGGCTTGCAAACAGTAAGTATGTATCTGTAATTGTTTGGTGTTAGTACATTTTTAAACGCTTTTACCCACGGTAATTCTAATTTGGCAGCTGTATTTCGCACATAAATCGTCCTCCAGATAGAATAATCTCTCCAACGGCCACGCCGAGCCGAGATTGTGTTTCGGCCGTATCCGTAGAGTAAGCGCAGCGAAGACGGAAAACTAACTCGTCGCGTCCTGGCTGCAGCTGAGGCTTGGTCATCGCAACCGTGGGCGGATCGCAATGTCGCCTATCGTTGACTAAGGACTAATTTTATTTGAATGGTTTGATTCATATAATTTCCTTATTATACATATTCGTGAATAACTGGGTGTTGCGGGGAAAGTGCATAGTCAACCTACTTGACGACAACCTTTATCATCTTAGTTTACCGGATTATGAGAGCAGTGAAATTCTATAAAGTGCGACGTAACTTCATCACTCAGTAACTTGAGGAAGAGTGAGCCGGGAGCTGTAAGTAAGTATGTTTAATTTACGAAATTATTTTCCCTTGGGGGATATCCGAGGATTTACAGACGGTGGTGCGATTCCGTCTCGTGCATTTTGTACTTAGCGAGACAAGAACCTTTCCGGTGAATAATAGTCTGTTCCGACAGCTAAGCAGCACTTAAAGCCTAT